GCTATTTTGTAAATGACATCGCCGAAGTCAAGGATCGGTAGGATAGTCAGTTTTACGAGGGCATGTTTAGCAGCATGAGTGAAGGAGGCTATGTTGCGAAATAGGAAGCCGATTCTAGATTTAACTTTGGATTGGAGATGCTTAATGTGAGTCTGGAAGGAGAGTTTACGGTCTAACCAGACACCTAGGTATTTGTAGTTGTCCACATATTCTAAGTCAGACCCGTCGAGAGTAGTGATTCTAGTCGGGCGGGCGGGTGCAAGCAGCATTCGATTGAAGAGCATGCATTCAGTTTTACTAGTGTTTAAGAGCAGTTGGAGGCCACGGAAGGAGTGTTGTATGGCATTGAAGCTCGTTTGGAGGTTTGTTAACACAGTGTCCAATGAAGGGCCAGATGTATACAAAATGGTGTCGTCTGCGTAGAGGTGGATTTGAGAGTCACTGTCACGGTTTCGGCCGAGGCTGCTCCTCCTCCTTGTTCGGGCAGGTTTCGGCGGTCGTCGTCCCCGGAGTACTAGCTATCACCGTTTGATGTTTTCGATGTCTGTTTGGTTTTGTCTGATTGTGTACACCTGTTTCCTGTTTGGTTAATTATGTCTCCTATAAGTTTCTCGTTTGGTTAGTCTTGTGTTGTGTGTTATTGTCCGCCTGTCGGTAGGAGCTGCGAGTTTCTGCTCTGTTTATTTGTTTGGTGTTTTTACGCACAGTTTGCGTAATCGCTCGCCTCTGTTTGTTTCGAGGCCCGTGTTTTGTATTTTGTCTCTTTATGACTAGTAAAGTCTGTTGGACTAAGCCTCAGTGTCCTGCGCCTGACTCCTACACCACATCCACATCAGTTCCTGACAGTCACCAGCAGCAAGAGCGACATCATTGATATACACAGACAATAGAGTAGCCAGGTGGAAAGCATGGCCAGCCGTAGCAAAATGCTTATTAAAATTCTCGATTATTGTAGATTTATCGGTGGTGACAGTGTTTCCTAGCCTCAGTGCAGTGGGTAGCTGGGAGGAGGTGCTCTTATTCTCCATGGACTTTACAGTGTCCCAAAACTTTTTGGAGTTAGTGCTACAGGATGCTAATTCCTGTTTGTAAAAGCTAGCCTTTGCTTTCCTAACTGATTGTGTATATTGGTTCCTGACTTCCCTGAAAAGTTGCATATCGCGGGGGCTGTTCGATGCTAATGCAGTACGCCACAGGATGTTTTTGTGCTGGTCAAGGGCAGTCAAGTCTGGGGTGAACCAGGGGCTATATCTGTTCTTAGTTCTGAATTTTTTGAATGGGGCATGCTTATTTAAGATGGAGAGGAAAGCAGTTTTGAAGAACATCCAGGCATCCTCTACTGACGGAATTAGGTCAATATCCATCCAGGATACCCGGGCCAGGTCAATTAGAAAGGCCTCATCCTTGAGATGTTTCTACAACTTGATTGGAGTCCACCTGTGGTAAATTCAATTGATTGGACATGATTTGGAAAGGCACACCTGTCTATATAAGGTCCCACAGTTGACCGTGCATGTCAGAGCAAAAACCAAGCCATGAGGTCAAAGGAATTGTCTGTAGAGCTCCAAGACAGGATTGTGTCGAGGCACAGATCTGGGGAAGGTGTGCCAAAAACATTCTGAAGCATTGAAGGTCCCCAAGAACACAGTGGCCTCCATCATTCTTAAATGAAAGAAGTTTGGAACCACCAATACTCTTCCTAGACCTGGCTGCCTGGCCAAACTGAGCAATCGGGGAAGAAGGGCCTTGGTCAGGGAGGTGACCAAGAACCCGATGATCACTCTGACAGAGATCTAGAGTTCCTCTGTGGAGATGGGAAAACTTTCCAGAAGGACAATGATCTCTGCAGCACTCCACCAATCAGACCTTTATGGTAGAGTGGCCAGACGGAAGCCACTCCTCAGTAAAAGGCACATGACAGCCCACTTGGAGTTTGCCAAAAGGCACCTAAAGGACTCTCAGACCATGAGAAACAAGATTCTCTGGTCTGATGAAACCAAGATGGAGCTCTTTGGCCTGAATGCCAAGCGTCACGTCTGGAGGAAACCTGGCACCATCCCTACGGTGAAGCATGGTGGTGGCAGCATCATGCTGAGGGGATGTTTTTCTGCGGCAGGGACTGGGAGACTAGTCAGGATCAAGGCAAAGATGAACAGAGCAAAGTACAGAGAGATCCTTGATGAAAACCTGCTCCAGAGCGCTCAGGACCTCAGACTGGGATGAAGGTTCACCTTCCAAAAGGACAATGACCCTAAGCACACAGCCAAGACAACGCAGGAGTGGCTTCGGGACAAGTCTCTGAATGTCCTTGAGTGGCCCAGCCAGAGCCCGGACTTGAACCTGATCGAACATCTGTAGAGAGACCTGAAAATAGCTTTGCAGCGACGCTCCCCATCCAACCTGACAGAGCTTGAGAGGATCTGCAGAGAAGAATGGGAGAAATTCCCCAAATACAGGTGTGCCAAGCTTGTAGCGTCATACCCAAGAAGACTTGAGACTGTAACCGCTGTCAAAGGTGCTTCAACAAAGTACTGAGGAAAGGGTCTGAATACTTATGTAAATGTGATATTTCCGCTTTCTATTTTTTATACATTTTCTAAAATTTTGAAAAACCTGTTTTTGCTTTGTCATTATGGGGTTTTGTGTGTAGATTGATGAGAGAGAGAAAAAACAATTTAATCCATTTTAGAATAAGGCTGTAACGTAACAACATGTGGAAAAAGTCAAGGGGTCTGAATACTTTCCGAATGCACTGTATATCTAATATCACGTTATAGATCAGGGCCCAGTTTCCCAAAAGCATCTTAAGGCTAAGTACATCATTAGAACCATGATGAACTTAGCCTTAAGATGCTTTTGGGAAACCGGGCCCTGGGGTATTCAACTCTTACCCTACGAGGTCCGGAGCCTGCTGGTTTTCTGTTCTACCTGATCATTAATTGCACCCACCTGGTGTCCCATGTAAAAATAAGTGCCTGGTTAGAGGGGAACAATGACAAAAAGCAGTGGAACTGGCTTCGAGGTCCAGAGTCGAGTTTGAGGGAATTATTATAGTAGACACAAAACAGTTGTTTTTTTGGGACAGATTAAAAAAAGGTGTATATGGATATGTCATAGAGATAGGTAGAGGACTCATCTTTGTATCTGTGCCATATAGCATATGTGACAGCATAGGCAGAGTCATTGAGGCTATCTCCATTTTAAAGTAGTACATTTCTTCTTCACAATTGGCTGATCCCTCCTGATGACCCGGTTGGACATGACTTCAACCGGGTCATCAGGAGGGATCAGCCAATGAAGTTGGAAGTCCCACCCAGTTGACTACATTAAAATGGTGTAAGCCCAGTATGAGTCATAATACCCATAAAACATAAATTATTGTAATCATTTTTCCACCATTCATTTTTCCCATATGGGATTTTAGAAACACTTAAAATAAGGGCTGTGTTTTGTGGAGGCTTACCCTGGCGTGACATTTTGATAACCATGTAAATCTCTCTAGGACAATGTGACTTTTATCAATATATTTGCCTGTATTTACCCCCCCCCCCCCCCAAAAAAAAAAAAAAATGAAACGCTAATTAGCTGCTAATGTGGCTATCATAAAGAACTACAAATGCCATGATGATCTGGACGAGACTGTTAGGTAAATGCAATAATTAATACATTGGCTACATTTCTTTCAATGCACAATACTGTGAACTGTCTTGTGCAAGTTTTAAATTGACACAATACCTGTTAACAAAGGTGTCAGCAAGAGATGAAGTAGAGAAGCTTGCAGGGATTTGTAGGTTTGCATGATGTTTACTTTTATGTTCATTTGCATTTTCGAAATCTGAGAGTAAATAGAGCTGAATATATTGATAATAGTCACCTTGTCCAAGAGAGATTTACATTGTAATAAAAACGTCACGCCAGGGTAAGCCTACATGAAACACAGCCCTTATTTTAAGTGTTTTTAAAATCCCCTATGGGAAAAAATGTATGGTGGGAAAATGATTGGAACCATTACCCTGTTTTGACCACTAGGTTTTATGGGTACACCTCAACCGAAGATTTTTATAACTAAACCAAGATACAAATGAGTCATAGTGGGCAGCACAAGCAAGGAGGTGGGCAGAGCCAAGCATGCGCTAGCGATATCCTATTGGCACGTTCTAGTATACATCTGCATATTTCCTTTACGGAACGCCTACTCTGTGAAGTGCGTGTGTGCAATAACTCAATTCGCCTTTGCACTCCTTCTAAACAGCGTGGTTTTACAAAACTTTTGAAAAAGGTAAAGTCTACAAAACTTAGTACATTCTGTTCATAACAAATTCTAGTTTTGGGAACAGAAAACTATTGAGATCAAATGTTTAATCGATGAGAAAATGTGCAGCATGTCGGCCAAAATCCATCTCATTCCATCTTCTCCCACTGCCCGCCATTGGGCTTCCTTTCACTACCATATTTGGTAGTGAGTGGAAACGCCAACTGGATGCTTCACATTTATACATCCAGTGAAATTATCTGTCTCATTGTTCTATCGGTGCGTCTACTGTGGGGCTCTATGGTGCTGCCATGCTAAAACGGCCTTTTGGCCACTAGAGGCCTCTATCAAACTCTATGGGATATGCACGCATCCCATTAAATTCTGAACAATGAAGTACAAGAAAGCCTGACGTTTAGGAGACTAACTGTTGAATATGGTCCTCGTGGTAATTTGATTACTAGCAGTTTTTGACAGAAGAATTATCGCACGTGAGTGATTGAAAAATCCATGTAGCAACAAAATAGTGTTCCTTGATTATTGGTTGACGCAATTTCTTCCGTGGCCAATCATGTGCCTCGGGGCAGACGTTCTCTGAGCGCCCTGAAAACCGCGAGGTGTGTTGCTTGGTAAACTTCAGCAATTTCCAGAACGATAAACTGATTCCGATTGGTCAAAGCGGCGTCAGCTGTGAGGAAAAGGGTATAAATACCCCTAAGGCGTTGCACTAGCTGTAGGCAGTGTGAATGTTTAGTGGGGGGTGTGTTTGCTTGGGGGAAGGTTGCTTGTTCTGTAGCCTATGTGGGGAAAGTATTTATAAGAAAACCTTTCTAAAAAAAAAAAAAGTTACTTATTTGGACAAAAATAGCTGTATCAAGGTAAGCCAGTCTATTTGATGCAATCCTTGTTGTACTCTGATGCTGTAAGCAAACATTTTGCGACATTATTAGGACTAACCAAAAATGTTATACAGAAGTTTTCGAAACATCTAGCTACAGTAACTAACGTTAGATGCAAGTTGGCCTACTTTGAACATGTATAAGCTTTGTGTTGATGACAAGTTGGCGAATGTTTGCTACATATCAAATTGTAGGCTATCTATGCAAAGTTAGCTTGTGAATTGTTGTTAAGTTTTTATAGAAATGTACCATTTTTTATTTATTTTTACAGCACTTTAAAAAGGAACAAAAGGAGTGTCGCTATGGTTGCTACAAGCACACTGAATAGTAAAAACGCGGAATGCATATCAGAATTGATTGACCGTAGATACGACCAGGCTTGTCTCGAAAATGGTAAGTTTTTTTTGAGTAATTTTTTATTCTCCTACAATATATACTTGCATGTGGGCATGTATTGCAACTGGGTATTTCTAAATTCTCCCAGGCTTCATTCATTTAGCGGTTGTTTACTCCAATATTGGTGCATAGTTGCAGCGCATGGAAGAAAGGGAGGGTGGGTGGAAGGGAATGGTGAAGGAATCTTTTCTCATCTGCTCTATGCTAGCCTACAGGACTCTGTTTATTCGTCAAATAAAGTTGTTGGCATGGATCAATGTTAGATTTGAATGCATCTATGTGCACATGTTGTACTGTAGTTAAAATTCTAACTTCTATGAAACATTGAAATCAACATGTGTCACATACCTCAACTGACAATTATAAAGATTGAGTGAAGACAAGGTGTTATGTTGACTAGTCATGTACCATGACTCTGGCTCAAGTCTAATTTCCTTCTCACTGACCTGAAAGGACTGGATAGGTGAAAGCCAATAAGCATTATGGTGGTTAGGCTATCCAGTCCTTTCAGATTCAGGCAGTGAAGAGGACATGACACTTTAGGAGGCCTTTTTGCTAGACTGTCAGTGACTGACAGATTGCTATAACATGTGGGTAGCTGATAGGTCAAATACCTGTCCAGGCATCGTAAGATCTGGCAATGTCTAAGCAGTGGAACATGACCTTTGTTGCATTTTTTTTGTAGATCTTTTCATACTGAACGCAGCCCTAGTGACTTTACTCCAAAATGTATGGAAATCAAATGGTGACACAATTAAAATGTAATTTCCCCCTCAAAATTAGCCTAACAAATTGGGCCATATTATCAGGCTGGTGTTTATTTAGCAATAAGAATGATCACCTGTAGCCCAACTGATGCAGCATAGTGGTTATAAATAAATGGGCAGACTCATGGGATTGCCAATCTGTATTTGTCCTAATCATTAGTTAACAGTGCTTCCCAAACTTTCAGTCATGGCCCCCTTTCATCATGGGGGAACATCCTATGCCCCCTCACCTCCCCAATTGAACAACTGCTACTGTTACACAAAAATATGGTATAAGAATACCACTTACTCATCAAGAAACAGTATACAAACACCAGTACCTGGTTTCACTTCAATATTGAAATCAAGAGACTGTATAAAGGAGACATAAACCAGCTTACTGCTGTGAAATGTCACGGTGGGAATTTCCAGTCATCATATTCCTCATGGTATATTATTGAGTGGATCAAATTGGGCTGTCTCTAATACTGGAGGGGCGGGGTCATGACCCCAAGTCTGCCCCGCAAGTTACGACTGACTGCATCAAATGTTATTGTATTTGACTGAGTCCCATAGTCTGTGCTTTTGCTTAGTCTTTAAAACATCACTCAACTATTGTCTTTTTTTGTCTTCCATCAGAGCTGGATTTCTGGGACCACTGTCTGGCTGAGCCCCACCTGAACGTGGAGGTGTCTGAGGACGGGACGTGTCAGCAGTTGGCCAAGATGTTCGAGAACTGTCTGTCGCGGTCCAAGAAGACCACTCTGCACTGCTCTAAGGTGCTGGTCCCTGAGAAGCTGACTATGAGGATGGCTCGCGATGTCCTGCGCCTGTCGTCGGGCGAGCCGTGCGGCCTACGTGGCTGTGTACTCTACATTCACCTGGAGCAGGAAACGTGCTGCAAGCAGCTGGAGCGCATCGTGTACAATGCAGACGTGGTGCCCATCTTCGAGCTGACGCTGGTGTTCAAGCAGGACTGCAGCGCCTGGCCCAGTCTCAGGGACTTCCTGCACATTGGTGCCTGTTTCACTCCAGGCTTCAGGCACGCGCTCAAACTCAGCCCGGGCTTCCGGCTCATCAAGAAGAAGCTCTACTCCTCCTCGGCTGGTACCGTGGTAGAGGAGTACTGAGAAGGGGGAATTGAGGATGGTGGGACCCCAGGGTTGGGTCAGGGATGTCCTGGGGAGGGGTACAATGCACTTCTACACTTGAGTATCTGAATGTAAAGATCACTTCTGGAGGGTCTTATTTCTACATGGTTTTTGTATGAATACAGTTTGTCATGTGAACGAGTAGTGTCATACAAAGGTTATTGGTGTCCAGCCTGTCTGCTCCAATGTCCAGGATGGTACAACTGATTATTCAAAATGGACGGACAAGGCTTGGTTACTGTAATGGATTATTGTCTAATGCCTAAAGAAGATGAGCATAACTTTCATTGACTTCACAATATTTGAAAACTTTTCCAATCAGCTAAAGTTACATTTGTTAAATGATTATTTTAATGTTCTGGATATAGTCTGTTAATAATTTTTCTATTCATTATTCTAAATTACACAATTAGGCAATTCATGTTATGAAATGTTGTGTTGATGTCCACTGATTTGTTTTCCAGATTTATGTAGGTACATAATGTTTTTGATCAGTCACTAGCCACTTTGTAATTGTGTCAGTTTGTTTGCAGATTTGTCCACTGCTGTTCAGCAAAGTAAACACTTCTAGAGGCTATAGGAACAGGACTTGGAAAAATGTTCGGGGGCCATAATCTAGGTGTTCAATGCTGAATTGAGGGCATGTGAATGTTTGTCCTTGTGAACATGCTGCTCATCGACGGCGCGGGCTCTCCAACCTCAACGGATGCAGATGCCTTAAACTGCCATTTAGAAAATGTAAAAAGTATATATCTAAATGTTTATTTTTCTTGCACTTGTTGGATCCTAGCTCCACATGGGTTCTTTAGAGCTTGTTGATCTTTTTATACCTTTTTTTTTTTCTACATTGTCATTGCATTTCCTTTCTCGATTGTTAATGGCTGCGGTGCTGTTTTTAAGCAACTGAGGATTCTTTTTTTGGGACAGGTTCTTGTTAAAGGAAGTCAATCTTTTTTTGACAATTAAACATTTTAAACCTACCTTGAGTCACTATTGTCAAGTGTTATTTCATGTGACTGAACGTTTTCAATCTGTTCAGATGCACTACACGCCACTGAAGTTGAGACTGGGGGTAGTAGGCATGACAAGTTGCGCAATACAGGCTTTTAAAAACAGAGCAGTAAAACAAGCCTGATGTTAAAGCAGAGAACGTGACCAGTGGGATTCTTTGTGCTGGCTGGCATAACAACATGTTCAGCAGGCAACATTACTGCAGCAGGGTGCATTACAGAAACATCCTGGATAGAAATGCCCATTTGACTCATACACATTATGATGACCTGAAAAACAGCAGGCCTTGGCAACACTACGGTCCTATAGACTGCATCCCTGTTGCCTCATACTTCACATAGCATTAATGTTAGTTTGGTGGCTAGGTTTTCACCTGACTTACTGAAGTAGCTTTTCATTAATTTTTTTCACAATTGTCCTTTTCTAAATTCCTCACATTACACGTACTAGTGTTCAGAAAGATTGACAGTGGTTGAATTTGAACCAATGATATATATAGAACAATGTCCATTATTACGTTTAAAGAATACGGTTTCTGTAAGGCCTAGCCAGAGGTAAACATGCTCTAGGTGACTGGCATTCCATGGCAGGTCACGATGGTTCAGAGGTAGCTTGTGCAGAGGGGTGTTTATGTAAGTATATCAGATGACTAGATTACACCTGGCTAATAACCTGCAGAGAGCGTGTGACATGTCTCTTTAATGGAGGAGTCTATAGGCTGATCTGAGGATAGTGTTGCTGGACTCTACCTGACAATGAGGTGTTGAATTAGAAGGCTCTCTGTCACTTTTGTGGGACATTCACTAAGGTGACATTCACTAAGGTGACAGTCTGAATACTGAAATTAAATGTCTTACCCTTTTGAATGTTTGATGACAGAAGGGTTTAGGCACTAGAACAAAAATATAAACACAATCTCAAAGATTTTACTGAGTTACAGTTCATATAAGGAAACCAGTCAATTGAAATAAATAAATTAGGCCCTAATCTATGGATTTCATGTCTGGGAATACAGATGCCTTAAAAAAAAAAGCACGTCAATGGGACTCAGGATAATGTCACAGTATCTCTGTGCATTCAAGTTGCCATCGATAAAATGAAATTGTGTTCATTGTCTGTAGCTTATGCCTGCCCATACCATAACCCCACTGCCACCATGGGGCATTCTGTTCACAACGTTGACATCAACAAACCGCTCGCCCACACAACGCCATACATGTGGTCTGCGGTTGTGAGGCCGGTTGGACGTACTGCCAAATTCTCTAAAATAATGTTGGAGGCGGCTTATGGTAGAGAAATGAATATTCAATTATCTGGCAACAGCTCTGGTGGACATTCCTGCAGTCAGCATGCCAATCTGTGGCGTTGTGTGACAAAACTGCACATTTCAGTGGTCTTTTATTGTTCCCAGCACAAGGTGCATCTGTGTAATGATCATGCTGTTTAATCAGCTTCTTGGTATGCCACACCTGTCAGGTGGATGGATTATCTTGGCAAAGGATACATGCTTACTAACAAGGATGTACACAAATGTGTACCCAAAAGTTGAGAGAAATAAGCTTTTTGTGTATGGAAAATGTCTGGCCTCTTTCATTTCAGCTCATGAACCATGATACCAACACTTTACATACAGTGGGGAGAACAAGTATTTGATATACTGCCGATTTTGCAGGTTTTCCTACTTACAAAGCATGTAGAGGGCTGTAATTTTTATCATAGGTACACTTCAACTGTGAGAGACAGAATCTAAAACAAAAATCCAGAAAATCACATTGTATGATTTTTAAGCAATTAATTTGCATTTTATTGCATGACATAAGTATTTGATACATCAGAAAAGCAGAACTTAATATTTGGTACAGAAACCTTTGTTTGCAATTACAGAGATCATACGTTTCCTGTACGTCTTGACCAGGTTTGCACACACTGCAGCAGGGATTTTGGCCCACTCCTCCATACAGACCTTCTCCAGATCCTTCAGGTTTCGGGGCTGTCGCTGGGCAATACGGACTTTCAGCTCCCTCCAAAGATGTTCTATTGGGTTCAGGTCTGGAGACTGGCTAGGCCACTCCAGGACCTTGAGATGCTTCTTACGGAGCCACTCCTTAGTTGCCCTGGCTGTGTGTTTCGGGTCATTGTCATGCTGGAAGACCCAGCCACGACCCATCTTCAATGCTCTTACTGAGGGAAGGAGGTTGTTGGCCAAGATCTCGCGATACATGGCCCCATCCATCCTCCCCTCAATATGGTGCAGTCGTCCTGTCCCCTTTGCAGAAAAGCATCCCCAAAGAATGATGTTTCCACCTCCATGCTTCACGGTTGGGATAGTGTTCTTGGGGTTGTACTCATCCTTCTTCTTCCTCCAAACACGGCGAGTGGAGTTTAGACCAAAAAGCTCAATTTGTCTCATCAGACCACATGACTTTCTCCCATTCCTCCTCTGGATCATCCAGATGGTCATTGGCAAACTTCAGACGGGCCTGGACATGCGCTGGCTTGAGCAGGGGGACCTTGCGTGCGCTGCAGGATTTTAATCCATGACGGCGTAGTGTGTTACTAATGGTTTTCTTTGAGACTGTGGTCCCAGCTCTCTTCAGGTCATTGACCAGGTCCCGCCGTGTAGTTCTGGGCTGATCCCTCACCTTCCTCATGATCATTGATGCCCCACGAGGTGAGATCTTGCATGGAGCCCCAGACCGAGGGTGATTGACCGTCATCTTGAACCTCTTCCATTTTCTAATAATTGCGCCAACAGTTGTTGCCTTCTCACCAAGCTGCTTGCCTATTGTCCTGTAGCCCATCCCAGCCTTGTGCAGGTCTACAATTTTATCCCTGATGTCCTTACACAGCTCTCTGGTCTTGGCCATTGTGGAGAGGTTGGAGTCTGTTTGATTGAGTGTGTGGACAGGTGTCTTTTATACAGGTAACGAGTTCAAACAGGTGCAGTTAATACAGGTAATGAGTGGAGAACAGGAGGGCTTCTTAAATAAAAACTAACAGGTCTGTGAGAGACAGAATTCTTACTGGTTGGTAGGTGATCAAATACTTATGTCATGCAATAAAATGCAAATTAATTACTTAAAAATCAGACAATGTGATTTTAGATTCCGTCTCTCACAGTTGAAGTGTACCTATGATAAAAATTACAGACCTCTACATGCTTTGTAAGTAGGAAAACCTGCAAAATCGGCAGTGTATCAAATACTTGTTCTCCCCACTGTATATATTATATTTTTGTTCAGTGTATGTCCTTTTTCTCCATAGTACTAAACATATTCCAAAGTTATATCAGTTGGAATATATATCTTATTATCAAATTATTATTATTGGCGACCAGTAAAATGTTTAGACAAAAATTATACATGGGGCAATGTACACCCCTAATATAATCCCAACCTACAGAACTTGGTTCAAAGCAGAAATCTTGTGTCATCAAAAGCTTTATATAAAACATCAACGTTCTTTTCTTTAGCACCATGCATTGGGAACACTGAAAGTGCTTTTCAAGTATAGTCTATAAATGAGAGCACCCACTTACACCATGCATCAGGCCTTCCAGCAAATGCTCTAAAGCAATCAAAATGAGCACACTATGAAAAAGCAATCAGGTTACACACTGTTGCAATAATGTGTCTACTGGATAATTAACCCATAATAGTTGCTGGCTACTGCCTGTCCTTTACATGCCTGTGTCACGACTTGTGTATATGTCAGCCATCCATAGGTTAATGATTGCTTGGATGAGTCTGACTCCATTAATTTACTGAATGTTACAATAAGTATGTAGTGTAGTGTAAGGAACAGGTCGTTAAAAAACGTGTTGTGATTCCCTCATGAGTCAACAGGCATCATCAGTTATACGTATCTATACATGAGCCTACATTGTACAACATCTCATCAAAGATATACATTTCCTAGACGAAACTTCAGCTGTCTGGGCCAAATCCTATATATACAATAATTCTATATAACTTGATCTGCACACATGTAGTCTCTGCTTGGATAAGTCCATTGACTGGATCTTACAATAAGTGTAGTGTATAAGGAAGGAACTGGTAAAAAGTAATAGATATTTCTGTCTGTATGTTTTTAAAATTTGATTTGAGTATGTAATGTATACATTTAATTTATTGCTGAAGTGAAGTGAAGTTTTTTTATCTCAGCCTAGATTTCTCTCTGACCTGCTAATGCCCTGGGGTTAATTGTTTGTGTGGTCATAGCAATACGTTTTGTGTCTTGACCTGGTGTTTCCCAAGTGGTTCTTGGGGACAGTAAATACTTGAACCTGTCCTTTTACCCGCTTCCTTTTGTTTCATACTTCTTACCTTAACCCAAACCAATGAATAGAATGTACACTAACATAACCGTAGGTTTGGATGTGCCATGACTGGATTGTAAGCCAGGTTGGAGTGCTTGTGAGAAAACAATC